AAATTGTTGGAAACTCTCCAGTAACAAACCAGTCAGCTCATGGAATACATATGTGGAATAAATACAGCCTTACCCTGCTGGTCTTTCCCAATGACAGCTTCCACGGGCTTCAGGATAGCAACTGTAGAAACAGGTCTCAATTTCAAGTTTCCAAAAATGCATTGTCATTACTAAATCAAGGGAGGCTGAAGAGATTTAAAAATTAGGAAAAATATGTTGATCAGACCTTTTGAAGGTAAAGTTAGGTCTAGTGCAAATCACAAAGTCCATGAAAGCTTAGACTGGGAAAACTGATTTGGCTCCTGTGCATCCTGAACATTAAGCAACATTTCTTCTTATAGCTCCCTTTCCAGTGATTACAGTAACATGTCCCTATTGTAATTGTTTGTTTCCTTCCACTGCAGGAGAGAAGCTGTAATTGTTTCAATCTCTGGTTGTAGTCATGTTCTGTTCAGAAGTCTGAGCTTCTGTAAAAAAAAAAAAAAAAAATAAGTGTAGTAACCAGTCTATAAAAACAAATGTCATTCTAAAATCATAATAAATAATAATAGACATTATAACTCATGAGCTCTTCATAGAAGGAACTGTTTCTTGTATGTTTGAACAGTGCCTAGAATGTTGCACATGCTACTAAAATATATGTATGACAATTTCTCATAGGCTGGAAATGCCAGAAGAACAGCCTTTCTCATGATCTCTGGGCTTCAGCTTCTGGTCTCAGATGAAACCAAGAAGTGCAAAGACATGAAAATGTGAATTTTAACCAAAGTGTTCTCTCTCTCGCTCACTCAAAGTATTTCGGTCAGATCATATTTTTTTCTGCCCTGGTTCATCCACTCTTGATGAATAATATGAAGAATTCTGCTTTCAGCATTATTTTAACAGGAACACAGAGACTTCTAAATCAAGGATGCTGCATTCTGCACTTAGGAGACACAGTGGAAAATTCTGACCCCTGGCTCTGAAGACTTTACTTTCTTCTTTCTCACAGACCACTTGTCTGCCTTTGCCACCTTAAATCCATGTTCTCCAACCACTGAAGTTACAGGAGACTGTTAACTATAAATATGATTTCCCCCCCTCCACCCCCGCACAATAAGCCACATTTTTGGTATGTGGGTAGAAGGAGCAGGAGCCCACAAAGCCTAGAAAGTGAGGAATGCAGAGAGAAGGATCCACCCTAAAAAAGTAATGAAAGATGAATCAGGGCTGCATGGCTTTTGAAATGCTTCAAGAAGTCAGATGGGTGACGGTAAAGCTGCCTATTTACATTGTGTGTGTGTGTGTGTGTGTGTGTGTGTGTATTACACATACACACTCTCTCATTTTCATTTAAATAGGGATAATCCTTATGTGAAGATGAGTTCTTCCTGAACACTTCCTTTGCTGAGTTAGCCTTTCAACATCAGGCATCTTCAACTATTTTTGTACAGTATTCCCTGTTATTAACATTGTAGAGGATTTTGTTTCACATTTGTCTTTTTTTTTTCTGGTTACATCTTCCATCCCCAGTATGGAGTCAGCTCCTGGGACAGGTTTTAGTGTGTAATATCACTCTCTACTAGTAATGCATTCCTCTGAATGCTGAAATTGATTTTCCTCTTCTTAATGCGTGAGTAGCCAGTGCAATGTTTGTCCCAATGCCTAATATGTGATGGCTCTGACAGCATAGGATGGGAACACAGTTGTTTTGTGTATGTCAGAAATAGCAACTCCAGCATGATTAAACTGAACTATATAACGTTGTTGGAGGCATTTAATTTGCCACAGATCAAAGTCTGCTTGGGAGGAAAGTGACTGATATTTTTAAAAATTGGATGTCTAAAATTAGGTACAAACATAGGTGGGTAAATAAATGACTAGATGCACAAAAGTGATGAGCATCCCACTGCCCCTTTAATTTCAATGGAACTGGTGGGTACTCAGCACTTTTGAAAGTCAGGGGTCTGGTTTAGAAGCCTAACTTTAGACACCAATTTTTTAAAATGTTGGTCAGTGTGCCTGTGTATGTGTAGGGACATAGTATCAGGGGGTAGCCGTGTTAGTCTGTATCTACAAAAACAACAAGGAGTCTGGTGGCACCTTAAAGACTAACAGATTTATTTGGGTATAAGCTTTCATGAGTAAAAACCTCACTGCATCCGAAGAAGTG